AAAAATCTTAGAATCAAGGAAATATGCTATTTGCCTGAAATCAGAGTTCCTTCAAGGACTGAGTTCAAAAAGCATCACTGGGCGTGTCTTGGATGTGAATTTCTCTGAATTTGCCCCTGAGAAGGGCGGGTGTGGGAAAGGGAGGGGAACTTGGAATCTGATGGAATCAGGTTCAGACCCAGCAGCTGTGATCCTGAGCAAACCCCGCCCCTTCCCTGATGAGGGCTTCCTGGACTTGAACACAGGGTTTTGATGCCTTCCCAGAGCTGCTGGGGGCCAGAGCTGTGCACAAGGCTGGCGTGGCTGGGCGTGGAAGTGCTGTATGAAGCTGGAGCCTGCACGCCCGCCTGCCAGTCGACCCCACCCTCCCACAGCTGCTGCTGCACGCTGCCTGCTCCCGGGGCCCTGAGCTGCCCTGCTGTATCCCTAGGAGGCCTGTGGGTTCCCGGGAGAACAGCCAGTTCTGGGCCACAAGCAAAGGGGGAACAGAGGTCTCCTGTGGGGTGACCAGAGTCTGCCCTCTGCTCCTTCCCACCTGCCTGACCCGGCCGTGCTCCTCCTCTACGGCCTGGGGCTCTGAGGGAAGGATCCCCGGTGGGACCCACGGTAGGGACAGTGCATTTTTACCTGCGAGCAGCTGACACATCTTCCTCTGGATACCCACCACCTGCGGAGCGGCCACCACCACAGAAAGTGTCCTCTCGGAGCACCGGTTCCACTTGATCCGAGGTGGTGTGCAGGGCTACCCAGGCATCTGCTCATCCGCAGGCGGCATGGAGTGAGCACTCTCCAGGGCGGGCCGGGCCCATGCTGACAGAGCCAGGGGTCTGGAAAATGTCAGGGAAGACAGGCACAGTCTTCCCTCGAAGGGATCTCCTAGAAGTGGAGGCCGATGTGTAAAGGAAAGAAAATCCACAGAGAGGCGCTGAGCGCTGTGGGCCCCAGGAGCCACAGTTAGAGCGTTGGCTTTGGCCGAGGGAGCCTGCCATGCTGTCTTCCGCTGCTGCAAGGTCACCTACTGTGTAACCCTGGGCAAGCCGCTCGACCTCTCTGTGTGTCGGCTCCCTCTTCTACAGAACAGAGCTAGTGAGTGTACTATTCCTGAGTTGCTATGAGAAAATGCATGTAAGGCTCCTAATGTCTAGCATGTGGCACTCAACTAAAGTGGCTTCTCTGGGCAGTGAAGAGAAGGTGGCAGGAGACTGCACCGGGTGAGGAGAGCATTTGGAATCAGGTTCAGCACACTGAAGCAGCCGCAGCAGCGCAGCTGCCGGCATGGAAGAGGACTTCCAGAATGCTTCGGGAATGACAGGGTGAGTGTGTTTGAAATGAGAGTATTCGGAGGGGGATTCGAGGCCATGTGTCCTTTACTATAATAAACTTCCATTGAGCAGTTCACCATGGTTTTGCTCACGTCATGTAGTTCAGAGTTAAAACAAACCTAGATGGTATGTTTACGTTGTCACTCTGATTGTCTTTTTCCAATTTGGATGCATTACCCTATTTTTTAAAAAATTAATTTTATTTGCATTACCCTATTTTGCACGCACTATCCAGAGCAGTCCCACAAAGAAAGACTGGAATTCAGTGGTTCTCCCTTCTGTTACCCCTCCCCCGCCCCATTCTGTGTTCTACTGTGATTTTTCTTTAGGTTCTGGTTGATACCTCCAGGATACGAGGATATACAACTATCCTGAGACAAGTACAGATGACAATCTTTGCATCCATTCCCACTCATGCAGAATGTTTCTTTTCATCTTGTTAAGAATCTTGGGCCGGGGAGATGGCTCAGTAGAATATGTGCTTCCCTGGCAAGCACAAGGGCCTGAGTTCAATCCCCAGTTCCGGGAAAAAAAAAAAAAAAAAAAGAATCTTTCCGTTTATATACTTATTACCAAATTCCAAACACTTTACCCTTTGCATGGATTTGCTATATTGCCAGGGTATTTCTGGGATCTGTTTTCATCAGCAACACACAGCATTTCAGAGATCCGGTGGGTGACGCGGTTCTGACTGGGTCATCTGAGAACACCACTGTTGCTGGTAGTGGTCCTCCGCCTGGAAACTGAGTCCTGATTGCCACGCAATGTCTGGGAATGGTGGGGGCATGCCCGCTCGGGACACACCCCCCTGTAGACTGCCAGCTGCTGCCCTCAGACCACAGTTCTGCAAGGCCTTCCTCCTTGGCCTCGATGCCCCAAATGGACACAGAAGCCCTCCTCTTGCCCCATGCCTGTCCCTGCACACTGTGGCTGGTATCTTTAATCCTGGGCCCCACACAGTGCTGGATACTGGTCTAGATGTATAGATTTCAGCAGTGACTGGCAGCCAAATCCCTGACTCTGTGAGCCCGCACTGCGCAGGGGTGGCTCAAGCCCAGCACACAGCTGGCCTGGGGTTCAATTCCCAGCATGGTGCAAAAGAAAGTATAAGGCACAGCATGACATAAAGAGGCAATACTGACAGGAGCAGAGCAGGGAAGGGGACAGGGAAAGTCTGGTGCTGGGGATTGAACTCAGGACCTTGTGCTTGCCAGGCAAGTGTTTGTGGCACTGAACCATCTCCTGGCCTTCACTCTGGGTTCTTGTCTGTGGCTCTATTTTGTTCAGATCGTTGTCCCGCAAGGCTCTTGAAATCCACTGGGTTCTGTGGCTCTTTGGACTCCCCTGGCTTTCTCCTGGTCATGTGAGAAAGTGTTGACAGTATCCAGTGTGGGGACCATGTGGGCAAAGGTCCTGCAGCTGGGAGCTGAGTGTGGCAGGGAGAGACTTTGGTTCTGGCTCCGCCGTGGGGGTCCAGTGGTGAGCTCCGGGCAAAGGTGTGACATGATCTCACTGTGACAGGATCACCCTGGCCACTGGATGGAGGGAAAGACAAAGGGGGGAAAAGGCAAAAGCAAAGTGACCCCAAGAAAGTGACCCCGCTGTCCCAGTGAGAGGCATGGGCTCTGGGGCCATAGTGGACTTGAAAGTGAGATGGCAAGACTGACTGCACATTGGGAACCCAGGAATGAAAAGGCGGGGCTGTGGAAGTGGGGGGCAGGCAGGGTGAGGGTGTGCCTGGCTAGCTGCTGAGTTCTGACCAGCTGGGAACCCAGGGCTGGTGTTCGGGAGACAGTCCCCGCTGGAAGGAGACATTTGGGTGCCATCATGGTAGGGATGTTCTTCAGAGCCCTGAGGACTTCACTAAGCCAAGCAGGCACTCAGGAGAAGCGGGAAGGGAGGGGACAGGTCACAGGGAAAACTGCACAAGGCCAAGAAGTGAATGTATAATGTGCAGTCCCTTACATCTGCCAAGCACAGGCCTAACAGTTCATTGGCCACAAGCCGATGCAGACACAGCAGCTTTTAGCCACCAGCCACTGGGAGATTTGCACCCAGAACCATGGTTCCTTGGTGTTGGAAGGGACCTTAAACTGATCATTTCATCTGCATGCAGCTCACCACCCTCCCCTGACCTTTGAATCATCCCTTGCTCCAGAAGAAGAAATATTTTTCAGATACGGAGGCAGCCAGGGTCAGGGAGAGGCTGTTCAGTGGAAGAATGCAAGGAAGGGTTGTTGGGTAGGGGTGAACCCTGAAGAGCAGAGCCTGGGTGGAGGGGATGGAGGAAACCTCCCAGGTTAGACTCTTCCAGCTGCTGTTCCCTAGCCCCCCCCCCACCGCATGCCTCAGTTTCCCGTGTGTAATACAGGGCGCAAGACACCATCCTTGTCGCCCAGGGCTGCAGTGAGGTCTGCGTACAGAGGGGAGCACGGGGAAGGGGTAAATGCCCCGCCTGGGTTGTCTGCAAGGCAGAGCTGGCTTGGAAGGACAACGGCTGAGGACAGGGAGGGACCCGTTCTGGCCTTGCTGGGTCTGTTGAAGCTGCAGGACCGGAGCCGCAGGGCACAGGTCTCGATCTGCACGAAGCCTGGGCCCCGGGGTTTGCCTCTAGAGCCTGGAACAGAGATGGAGGTGACTCCGAGGCAGCAGCCAGGAGAAGAAACAGAGATTCCGAGGTACAGAGACTCTGAGACTGAGGGAGGCACCAGACCAGCTCAGACCTCGGCAGCTAAACTGGGACCCAAGACCCTGGACAGGGCGCATCCCGGGGCCCGCAGGTCCCCCGCGCGGCGCGAGATCGGGGGTCCCCGCTGAGCCCGGCAGCCGAGCTCGCCCAAGATGGCGATGCAGGGGCGGGCGAGGCGGCCGCGGCCCGCGTCCCCCCGCTGCTCGG